AAAGCATGCTAAATGCTGTGTGTGTGTTAAATGAAGTGAATTCGACATGCTTATATTTATGGATAAACAAGGAAAATGTTCCCTTGGCTTTTGGAGCTAATGTTCTTGAAGTGTGGCATGAGCTGTGGACAGGAGGCCGCAGGCCGGAGCCTGCAATTCCATAGCCCGGGGGAGACGGGTGTGCCCTGCCTGAACCTCTTTTGACCTCCATCTCCTGGGTGTGCTGCCCCTTGCTCTGTCCCTGCCCAGCACTCCCTGTCAAACGAGGACACTGACGTTTGCACCATGTCCCTCTTGTGCCTCTGAGCAATGCCACTGTCTTGGGATGCGTTTCTGTATCCCAACTCCCCTTTCTCATTTTCTTCTCTCCCAGCAGGGCGTGGGTGGGTGCACAGGAGGTGGGAGGATATAATTAGCACCCAGGGAGAAGCAGCTTCAGCCTGCACGCTTTTCTGGGACAGCAACGTGCTGAGAAAGGAGCACATGGGTGTCCAGGGACCAAGCTCTCCCGGCTGCCATCGACCCCAGTGGTCCTGCAACTTTTTGCCCCCGTGCATGCCCAAAGTCAAAGCAAGCAGAGGGCCCAATGGTGGGGCAAGGGTCTCCGTGGGTCCTGTGAGCCTGGCTGTGTGTCCAGAGGGTCACATGAGCTGTGATGGGCTGGACCTTCAGGGCCTTCCAGCTCGGTGTGTTTAGTGAGTGGGAGGCAACCGCTTGTCCACGTGTCCAAGCGGGTCCATCTGGGAAGGAAGCCTGGTGCTGTCCTCCCTGCACACACACTGGCCAGGCAGAGCCGGCTCCCATGTGGGCAGGAAACATGGAAGCCGGTCCATGCCAGGGGTCATGGGTCAGGCAGGCCAGCTGCACCCCACCCACCTATTGATCCATTGTGTTCCCTATCACCCTACCTTCCTCAGTCTCACTGATGCTAAGAAACTGTGTTTAATCAGGGGTCTGGCCTGAGTTAGGGGTCTTAGCTTTGCTCTTTCGTTTGGGTTGGAAGAGTCAGACCTGCTCACTGGGCCTTGTAGAGCCTCCGGCTTCTCCAGAGTCAAGACCCGCCTGGGCCACCCCCTTTTTGATCACTTCTTTGGACCCTCAGCTATTTTGTAAGTGCCGGGGCAGGGCTGTGAGACTAGAAGCATGCTTTCTGTGCCCAGCCTGTCCTGTGTACCCCTGTGACCCCCTGCTTAAGTTCATCTGAACGTAGGAACAAAGATTTGAAGCCAGGGTTTCAGAGACGTTGAGGCCTGGACCAAGCGTGTGCATGGCCTCTGCACACAGGTGCACGGGCACAGCACACACATGCACACACCCTTCCCTCTTCTCTGCCAATGGGTTCCTCCTGTGTCTCCAGACTGACCTCCAGCACACTGACTGCCCTGCTGTCTGCTTCCATCCCTCGTCATTTCCTAAGGAACACCCCTGTCCCGTCCTTCCCCTTCATTTTCCTTCCTCTTCCTCTCCATTCCTTCACAGGGTTTCCCCCCATACCCCACAGGCTGGCCTGTAACTTGCTGTGTGAACCCGGCTAGCCTTGAACTTACAGCAGTCTAGTTTCCCACATGCTGGGATGACAGGCTCACACTAGAGTGCAGGCCTCCCTCTGCCCCGCCCTTCACGGAATGAGAGTCCCTCTCTCCAGAGGGAGGCAGTCTGCTGATATGGGACATCCTAGTCCTGGCTTTAAACTTACTTCATTTCACCGGGGAGAAGTGGCTCCAGTGTTTTGAACTCTGCGTCTAAAGCAGGAACTGATCTTTAGCTGTGCCACAACTGCTGATGGTATCTCCCCCAAACATATCCAGACAGCTCTCTACCCAGGCAGCATGGCCGCTCCAGAATGCAGAACGATGCTCTTCATTCCACTACGTAGAGCCGGGAATCTGCCTGGGAGGCATTTATTGGCTCGTGCGTTGGTGGTCATGGCATGTGTGTTGCCTGAATGAACAGTGAGCAGCCTGGTGTGTCACCTGCAGCCAAGACTGGCCCTGCTGTGGAAGGCTGTGAGGCTCTTGCGTCTATTTGGAGATTGTAAAGGTTGCATTGTTGCCTTTGGCTTATGAAGGACAGCGGGGGAAGTGAGGAAGAGCCAGGGCCTTGCCCCAGCTGGAGAAAGGAGGCGTGGAGAGAGGGAGGAAAACAAGACCCAGAGTTGCCTCCAGGCAGGCTGTGCATTTGCCACTTTCTGCCCATCGCTTCCTGTTTGTCCTGTCAGTCATCCATGGCACCTCGAAGGTGTGGTGGACATGGCTGATCCAAACCTGTCACCAAGCAGTGACACGGGTGCCTGGCTCAGCAAAGATGACCCCGTCTCTCACAGAGTGTGCCCATTCTCACCACTCTTGCTGTCTATAGATTCAGCGCTGAACACACCATGTCGTGAGCCTGGAGGCCAGAAGGACAGGGCAGCCATGACTTGGTCCTTCTTGCTTCAACAGGTGTCAGAGTGTGGGTGGCGCAGGCTACCATGTCTGAGCAGGACTGGGGCAAGCTGGGGGGAGTGGTGGAAGAGGATCCAGCAGGGTTCTGAGCTCATAGGCTGCTGGGAGAGCAGGGGGAAGGACACAGTGTTAGGGGCTGGGAGGGACCTCAACATCATGGCCCGTGGTCTGAGCTTCTGCTCTGGACAGGGATCCTGCACTCCCACCGGACCCTAAATACAACTGGTTCCTCTTCCGAGTCTCCCACCTGACACAGTTACCACATAGGTCTCTGCTTCCCCCCCGTTACCCACTGGGTGCCTTTATCCTTTTCACCCCACAGGGGGAGGGTGTCTTAGAGGGGAGAGAACACAGTTGCTGTTCCCGTGGGGGCATGTGGCAGCGGTCAAACTGGAATGCAGGGTTACAGGGCCAGCTATACATTACCTGGGCAGCACGGCCTATGTCCTACGTCTGCTTTCTCTCTGAATGGGGGTGGTGCCCTTGGGGGCTGATGTCAAGTTATATAGGCCACCCTAGAAAGCTAAGCGAGGCGGTGGGAGGCGCTGGATCCACTGCTTACCTCCTTCAGGACAGCCGACCTGTGTCACCGTATTCCAGGTGACAGGAGGCACAGCGACCAAGAAAGACCAACAAGAGAAATTGTCTGTCCGAAGAGCTGAGGGAGGCAAGCTAGCCACTCGCAGCGTGCTCGTGCAGCAGGCTGGAGGAGGCCTTGGCGACCTGTGTAGAAATGGCACCCATGGGAAGGAGATTACTCACACGTAACTTTAGGAAGAGAGACTTCCAAGCATCGAGGTCAGCGTGACGCAGCAGTTAGAGTGTGTGCTCTCCGGCTTGCTGAACTCTACTCTGAATCATTTATGGCTCTACCCAGAGGAGGCTTCCAGGCCTACGAAAGGCAGAGATGTTTGCCGGGGAAGTGAGGGCGCACTAGTCAGCACGCCCTGTGTCCCAGCATCCCATGCCAAGGGCCGCCTCCTGGGCCAGCCTGGCGCACTGGTGCCAGGGAAGCTACCTTTCTCCACTGCGGTTGGAGCAGTGAATACGGTGGCGGCCCCGCTGTCTAGGTGAGCTGAAATCAGAAATTGCAAAGCCCTCAGTGAGTTCAATAGATGTTGTCCCAGAACTGCTAAGCCTTAGGCTCGCCTCCTTGCAAGGCTTCTGTTGACGGCCTGGGCCTTCTTACTCTGCAGACAGGCTTCCCAAGCTGATTCCACTCAGTCCATTCTACAGAGAGAAAACGAGAGCTGGGAGCAACCAGCAGATCTGGTATACGGTGAACTGACCGTGAGGAGTCTGGCTGCGGAGGAGGCTCGGTGCTTAAAGGGCTGCTGGGCAATCAGGAGTTTGGATCCATATCTGTACGCTCTGGGTTCACTGGGAAGCCCTCTCTCAGTGAATAGGTGGAAATGAGTGATTGAAGGTGATTCCCAATTTCAGCCTTGGCCTTCTGTGTGCCCCCTCCATGTACATGTACACTTGCAAACATTCACAGACACACATCACACACACACACACACACACACACACACATACACACACACACACACACACACACACACACACACAATGGAAACAGAAGAAAGGCAGCTGTATCTTTGGATCTGGCCACTGTTCAAAAACCTGGCTGTCTTATTGGCTTTGTCAGTGAACAGCTTCATTTTTACGGACTGTGCAAGCTGGTGGAAGAGGAGGCCTGTGAAACTCTGAATTATACACACAGTGTTTAGTTTAAAATCGCCACACAGGTGCAAAAAAGAAAGCCTGTCCCCACAATTCAGAGCCTGCCGCTTTAAGCCTGTTTAATAGAATTGCAAGCTCCTGGAACTCCTATAAGCTCATGCACACATGTACACACATACACACACACACATACACAAGCACATTCACACACCCCCAGAGAAGGAGAGACAGAGACAGCTCTCAGCAAAGGCAGCGGTGGATTGAACAGGAACCACACTTGCATTTTAAGCCCGGCTCTCTCTGGCTAGCAGTGTGTCAGGTGAAGACTATCCTGAGGTGAGGCACAGCCGCCCTTGTGAAGGGAGCAGCTGACTCCCTGCCGTGTGCCTTCACTGAATTAGAATAATCTGGGGGGGGGGGGCGTGTATTTTCCACTTACCATGTTTTTGGTTCGTGGTGAGAATGTTACAGTAAGTTGAGTCTTGGTTTCACTGGAGGGTGGAGGGAGGGCTGCAGGACTCTTGTTTGGCTAGATTCCAGAAACAGTGTTGCTGCTGATGTCCTGCAGGCTGTCTGAGGTCTGAGGCGCCAGCTGAGTGTGATGGTCTGGTGGCTCGGGGATCAGGGGGATAGGAGGACAGGGCAGGAGGCACAGAGCACTGGGCTTGGGCTTCGGGAGGGTGGGAAGGAAGGTGGGGTGATGGGTATATTCTGGGAGACAAGGCTATGGGGCAAGACAAGGGCATCTGAGTGACAGGAAGGCCGGGGTGGGAGAGCTGGGCCGTGGCCTCCATTTGGGCAGGAGGCTGTGGGCGGGTCGCCAGGAGGTGGCACTCCGGGACTGAGCGCCCGGTCTGTCTCGGGTTTCAGGGCCCACCAGGAAGATGCCGCCCAGCGCAAGTGCGGTGGACTTCTTCCAGCTCTTCGTTCCCGACAACGTGCTCAAGAACATGGTGGTGCAGACCAACCTGTACGCCAGGAAGTTCCAGGAGCGCTTCGGCAGCGACGGCGCCTGGGCGGAGGTGACGCTGGCAGAGATGAAGGCCTTCCTGGGCTACGTCATCTCCACCAGCGTCTCGCACTGCGAGTCGGTCCTCAGCATCTGGAGCGGCGGCTTCTACAGCAACCGCAGCCTGGCGCTCGTCATGAGCCAGGCCCGCTTCGAGAAGATCCTCAAGTACTTCCACGTGGTGGCCTTCCGCTCCAGCCAGACCACGCACGGCCTCTACAAGGTCCAGCCCTTCCTCGACTCCCTCCAGAGCGGCTTCGATGCTGCTTTCCGGCCGTCTCAGACCCAGGTGAGGCCAGGCTGCGTTTGTGTGTGTGTGCGCGCGCGCGTGCGCACACGTGCACGCGCATTCGCATGTGCGTGTCTCCATGCATGGGTCCATGCTTGCGTATGTGTGTGTCTCCACTCATGGGTCTGTGCATGCATATGTGTGTGTGCTTGCGTGTGGCAGGTATCACTCAGTGCCCCGAGACCTTTTTTGGCTAGGGACAGGGTTTAGGATGTCCTTTCTCCATGACTTGAACAAGTCACTTCAAGGTCACCAGCTGTACTGTTAACTTCATGATACGAACATGTTTTAAGGAAGGGTGGGGGCTTGAACTCTGACCCCCAGACAGCTGGAATTCAACCCTGCACTCGGGCCTCAGCACGCTCCTCTTTCCACAGCCCCCTCTTCCACGGCTCTTCCTGCCGTGGCTTTATGCTGCTGCACACTAGCGTCAGGGGCCCTGTCACACTCCCTGAGGTCACATTCCCGGTAGTGTGGAGGAGACTCGGGGTTAACCCTTCCTGGATGGTGAAGGGCTGAGCGGGGATTGCCGCCATTCCTGTGGTCTCGGGCAGACCCGAAGCCTCTTCCAGAGCCCGGTAGCCAGCACCCCGTCACGGCACCCAACTCCTCCAGATATCCCTAGCCTGCTCAGAAGGCCCCGTGGCTCTCGGCTCCTGGCCCACACCACCGCCCATGTCCACCCGTGCTCAGCACTGCCACTCTGGTTTGGAATTGCTCTGTGGACGTAGCAGGTTGAGGAGGTGGCTGGTGTCTGTCAAGTTCTCCGTCTCAGACGGAAGTTTGGCACCCAGGTGGGAAGCTGAGCGCCCTCTGCAGAGAGAATCTAGTTGCACAGTCGCACCAATTTTCACACTTTCGGCTATTCTTTCAGAAGCTCTGCGGCTTCCACCCCCACTGCTCTCTTGTGCCCTGTCTGTAATGTTCCCCGCCCCACACAGCTGGAAACTTGAGGGCTTTGAGTGGTGTTACTACCTCAGGTCCATGGGCTTCATTCGAGAACTTGTCAGGTATCTGTGAGAGCTGGGGAAGGGGGCAGCAAGCCACGTTCTGGCCTAGGGACATCTCTTTCCTTCTTCCCAGAGGTCTGCCCTTGCCTGTTGAGACTAGTTGAGATGGCGTTCTTCCCCAAACCTTGTCAGAGCCAGGTTGGATTTGCTCTGGTTCTCAGGAGTGGCCCAGGGCCTGCTCCCTCATACCGGCATCATGACCCCACCCTCAACACAGCTGCTCACACACGCGTGCATACACTCAGGTGCACGAACTCTCAGCGTTCTAGGAGTGCTACCCTTTTCAGAAGGTTTCCTGGAGTTCGAAGAAGACCCCAGAATCTGCCAGCAAACAAAGCCGCCATCTTTGTGTGAGGTGTCCACACACACAAAACAAAACGAGCGGTGTCACTCTCTTCAGAACTGGAGCCAGGCTAATTGGAGAAATGTCCCTGGAGAGGGATTATGCAAATACGTGAGAGAGGTCTTGTCTGCCATGCTTGAAGCCTGGCATGCCCCCAGTGGCTTGTCACACAGAGGGGACTCAGGGATAGCACCGGCAGCTAGCTGTTTTCTCCAGAGGAAGAGGAGTGAGGCTCAGAGATTCTTGCTGGCCCTGTGGTGCCAAGCATAATCGTTGCTGACAGTCACGTAGAGATGGACTGGCTGGCTGGCTCACTGAGGAGGACACTATTCTTGGGTGGCTAAGAAACAACAGTCTAGGCAAGAAGGTGGGTGGGGGAGAGCAGGGAGCCGGGGGCACCTCCCTGCCATCTCCCCCATCCCTATGCCCTCCTGAGATGTCCATTTTGCTGGATGGTTCCACGTGGGGCATCGAAGGTTTCAGAAGCTGCAAGGAGCCAGGGAATGTGAGGGTCCGGACTGCAGCACAGGCAAGCCAGCTGGCGTCTCCCATGGTGAGCAGCGGCTGGGCTCAGACGGAAGTCACCTGGGGCAGTGTGTGTGTGTGCAGTGAGGTGAGGCTGCTGCTTTAAAAAAAAAAAAGTTTTTTTATCTTCCGTATTTGAGTGTTTTGCCTGCATGTAGGTGTGTGTACATGGGGGGGGGCGTACATGCGTGCACTGCCCACAGGTCATAAGAGGGCACTGGAGCCCTGTAACTGAAGTTCCACACTGTGGGTGCTGGAAACCAGACATGGTCGCTGCTATGGGCGCACCTCTAAAGCCCGAGGCACGTGCTTTTACAAATAGAACCAAGGCAGGATCCCCAGAAGAACGCTGGGTCGTGAGTGCTGAGAACACATTCCAGTGTGTCATGCCAGGCCACAGACTGACATTCCAGTGTGCCCACACCAGGTCATGGACTGCTGTTCCAGTGTGGCAGGCCTGGTCATGGACTGGTGTGGCTTTGGGGCTGACTCAAACCTTCTGGGAAAGCCACACTTGACCACCATCTCTAGGAGCTAAGCTCACTGAAACCTTGTCTGCACACGGTCAAATACTGTTTCAGATTTTAGTGGTCGCTAGAGGTCTTGTCTCTTCTTCCAAGTGGCCACAGAGCTGCAGTGGGCAAGATTTGAGGAACCTCAGTCTAAAGCATTGTGCAGTGTTGAAATGAGCGTGCATACACTGAATCTTGTTTAGGCGCAGGTGTGTGCTCTCATTCGTGATTGTGACTTACTTAGAATTGCCACAGTGTACCCGAAAGCCCCCAAGAACTTTAGTTTGAAAATAACAGTTCTTTTTACTTTATTGTCCAGTCTTTGAAAAGGTCTTAGGTTCACAGGTTATCAAGAAGTTGACCTGCCTGGTGGTAGTGGCACAGGCCTTTAATCCCAGCACTTGGGAGGAAGGGGCAGGCAGATCTCTGAGTTCAAGGCCAGCCTGGTCTACAGTCCAAGTTCCAAGACAGCCAGGGCTACACAGAGAAACTCTGTCTCAAAACAAAACAAAAACCTAACCAACCAAAGAAGTCGACACAGGTGAAGCATAGTTAGTAATTGCTTGGGGGTCAGGGAGGTGGCTTGGTGGCCGAGAGGGCGTGCTCTCTCTGCAGGGGAGCCAGGTTCGCTTCAGAGCACCGGTACTGGACAGCTCACAACCTCTGTGCTTCTGCTCCAGGGTATGCGACACCGCTGGCCTCTGGAGGAACCTTCACTCATTTGTACACACCCCCGTAGACATGCTCTGACACCAGTTGGGCCAGGAGACCTCAGGCCAGTGACACAGCTCACGGACACGGGACACAGTCATACCTGGCTCCAACCTATGGTGCAGGGTTTGACATAACCCCAGGATCTAGGGTGCCCGACACTCAGAGGCACCAAAGATGGGCCTGGGACAGCGCCTCTGAGATCAGTGTGAAGGTTAAAGGCACAGCTGGTGTGGGCTATGTGACGTGGGTAACTCACCTCTGCGGAAGGAACGTCCGCTGTGTGTCAGGATGTCAGTGAGTGCACGTGCCTCCCCCTGAGCCCTCCCTAGAGCAGCCGTGTAGACGTCACAGTCTTCTGAAGGTGTCGACGGAGCTCACGCTGCGCCATGGGAACAGCCGTTGTCCTTTCCTGCAGGTGCTACACGAACCCCTGATTGACGAGGACCCGGTGTTCATCGCCACTTGCACAGAGCGGGAGCTGCGGAAGCGGAAAAAGCGGAAATTCAGCCTGTGGGTCCGCCAGTGCTCTTCAACCGGCTTCATCGTCCAGGTGAGCCGAGGGCACTGTGGTGTGGGAACCAGGCGTGTCAGGATGGGGGCCTCTGGGAGGTGGGAAGGGTGGGGTGGGGTGCTGTGGGCCCGGCTCCTTCCTGTCTGCCCACTGTCTGTCACACTTGGCCTGGCACTCCAGGCCAGGCCAGCCTGGTCTCACTTTGCCTGCTTTTGGGGTGCCCAGCTCCACCGCTGTGACGTAGGGTTTTGACAGGACTCCAGGACCTAGGGTGCCAGACACTCAGAGGCTCCCAAGATGGGCCTTGCCAGGGGCTCTGAGTTTGTCTTGGGCCAGTGACGATTAAGGTCTCGGGCAGCTGGAGCGTGTAAAGTGGAAGCAAGACTTATTAAGGAGAATTAGGGAAAGGTGAGAGACTGGGGAGCAGAAAAACAGCTCCGGAAAGCTGGAGGGGACTCCAGGAGGAAAAGCCACTGGGCTTTCTGGTCTAGGGCTCACAGAGGGCAGTGGAGAGGCTGGCGGTGGCTGATGTAGTTGCTTGGAGACCAGCTGGTTCTCTTGATTGTTGTGGGCTGAGACTGGAGGGCTCATGTGCTGCACGCATGCGCCCCGTGACCCAAGGGTGGAGGTTATCATGTGTTCAGGCCGTTAGGGGTGGCGGGAGCCCCACTCTGCCCACCTTTGGGCTGGCTTTGCTCGCAGAGCTGACTGGACTCTGCCAGCTACTGCTCACCGGTGGTGTGCTGCTACCCTCAACCCCGAGAGAAAAGATAAACATTAAAACAAAACGGAGCACCTCGGGTGCCCGCTTCACAGTGGGTGCCCGCTTCACAGTGGGTGCCCGCTTCACAGTGGGCTTGTAGGCTGCACACGGCGAACGAAGCAGCGCTCCGTTCCAAGTACGCAACCTGCTTGCACGCACTTGCCCAAGCAGTGAGTGATGTTGTCATGCCTCCACTCACACCCACAGCCTTGTGTCTCCATTTCCTCCCACAAGGGGATGTGCGTGAGCCGCCTGTGGGCGCCGACTGTGCACCTGTGCGCTGTTTGCCCGTGGCTGCACCTCGTGTGCCCATGTACACACAGCTGCCAACGGCATTCACCAGCTCCACGTCCCTAGATAGGCTCTGTCCTGTTCTGAAGGAGAGGTGGCTGTGCCAGTGCGTGTGATGGGCCCAGTGCCCCAGACCCCGGGACATCGAGTGGCATGTCAGCAGCTGCATCTCGGGGCTCTGTGTCCATCAGCCAGGTCATTCCAGTGGCCTGTGAGTGTTCCTTGAAGGAATCAGGAAGAGAAGCAGAGGAATGCTGCTGTGTTGCAGGCCAGCTGGCCGGGGGAGAATGTTCTCTCCAGACAGCCAGTGCAGAGGTCTGCAGACGGCCCAGCGGGGCAAGGTGCTCCCTGCCAAGCCTGGCCGTCAGAGTTCGATGCCTGGGACAGACATGGTGAAAAGAGAACGAACTCTCCCACGCTGTCCTCCGACTTCCACACACTCACCACAGCGCACAGTGGCCTGTTCAGATCCAGGCATGTGAGTGTACACAGACACACATACGCCGCAGTAAAAACTAATAACTATAATGTCCAAGTACAGACCTGGTTACTGTGTAGGAGTGAGCTCTCCACACTGGGAGTCTCTGCACGCCTCCGATGCTGCTTCTGGATTTCTTGAAGGGGAGAAGGCTGCTGGCTCAGCAGAAGTCCGTGTCACACCACGTTCACACCGTGTTCAAACCTCGAGAGGGAAGTACCTAGAACACCTGGACTTGCCCATGTGGGCAAAGTGCTGAGCAATTCCAGATGGTCTTGCAAATGTCCCAAGCCAGGGCAAACTGTCTGCTGCCTGTTGCTGGTATTTGAGGAAGTCGCCAGTCCCAGGAGAGCAGGAGCCTGGCAATCCACAGACCTGCACAGAAGGCAGTCCACACTGACAACCACAATCCCATGTCCTAAAACCCACCAGTTTCCAGCTGCACCTATCAGCGCTGGCGGAGAAGATCTTTCATTAGTGGCCCTCCCTACCCCCAACACCAAAACCCCAGAGCACCTATAATTCCAGTAAAGGCTTTAGGTTTTCAAGATTCATTCACTTTCATTTCATACACGAGTTTTGCCCATTTGAGAGGTTTGCGCTCGCTCAGGACCAGCTCAGGCATGGCAGGGCGTGAGTGGCTGGTTGCATGGTATTGACAGGCAGGAGGCAGAGAGCACGACAGGAAAGAGCGCCAGGATGGAAGCTACATCCTTCAGCCAGGCCCGCCTCCACGACCTCTCCTGTGGGCACCACCAGCTGGAGACCAGGTGTTCAAACACACACGTGTGCACAGAACTCCACATCCCACAACCTGCAGGAACGGCTGTGAGCGTGCAGCCAGCATGTCTGTAGAGACCGTGCTGGCTGAAGCTAGAGTGTACAGTCAGAGCAAAAACGTTGAGCTGCGTCCTCCAGAAGATCCGTGGCAGGCCGGGACCCAGCTTCCTGACCGCTGCTGGGCCCTGTGGCTCTGTTGCTGGGCACCACTGCTCTGAGGGATTGCTCACTCCGTTGAAGACTTCGCTGCCTAGGCACGTCCCTGTGCTCCGACCTAAACAGAGTTGGGCCTTCGTGTTCTCGGTCCTCAGGGACGCCTGTGCTTGGTAGGGGCCTCCCAAACTCGTCAGGCAGGACGGGTCCTTCCAGGTGCTCCTTCTGGGCATTTCTCAGAGTGCTGTTGGTATCCCAGCTCCTGGCAGTTCTGGTGTGGTCTGGTTGCTCCAATGTCAGCTTGCTCTGCAGGGCGGAGCACAGGAAAGTGGTAGGCTCTGTCTGGCCTCTGTCTACAGAAGTCTAAGCATTCCCGAAACCTCCACTGTCCTTAGGAGAAGAGACTAGTCAGCACCCTGCAGACCGGGCCTGTCTGCCCTTGGATCCATCCTCTTCCCACATCCACTCCTTGGGGACAAAGCTTTGAGGTCCCACAGCAATCACACGGCTGGCATGGATCGTGTTTCAGGGATGCTTCCCGAGTTCGGCACACCCTGTTGGTTGTGCCCTTTTAAAAACCATTTTATTTACGTTTCTTAATCTTCTTCCTCCCTTCTCCACCCCAGTCCCTTCCAACACCCTAATACTGGGTAGGAAAACAAGGAGGTTAGTGGGGAGAGGGGGCGGGTTCTCTTTAGCTACTTTCTTTAGCTGGATAGGGTCGTCAGGGTCCTTGGGGCAAATCAAGTCCTCTGTTCAGGATAGCCCCAACTTCTTCTTGTCACGTTGCATCAACAGCAGCCAGGAGGAGTGAGTGGGGGGGCATCACCAGCAGCCTTGTTCTTCCTCAGTCCCCTCAACGTTCTGGTTCTGGCTTTTATTCCCTCTCAGCGTCCTCAGAGTTAAACTGTCTGCAGCTGGCAAAGGGCCCCCGCTCAGAGCCTGATGAGGCAAATACTTTGCTGCTGTGGACCATCTGAATCAGCCCCACATCCCACACCCGGAATAAAGACAAAACCATGTTACCTCCACAACACTCTTGGCTCTCTTGGCCTTGGAGTGTGTCTGACCTCCACTGTGTGTCTGGTGCCGTTGAGATAGATGGGGGCTGTCCTGCCCGCCTTTGGACAGACTAGTTATGTGCCCAGTGGACAGTACCCATGTAAGAGCATGGCTAGCCCTTGAAGTGGCCTTTGTGTGTGTGTGTGTGTGTGTGTGTGTGTATATGTATGCATGCACATGTGTGTGTGTGTGCTTCAAGTTTGCATCAGTTTTGACTGTGAGTTTCGCCATCTTTAACTGCTCCTTTCCCACATGGACTCTTCCAGGCTAAAGCAGCAGCTGCTCAGGTTTTGGGTAGCCATGGTGGTGACCTGGGGCTGCGTGAGGCAGATAACACAATGGGGTGCTTTTCCTGCCTCCTCTGACCCCGTGTTTCCTACAGCCTCGGGCTGTGGTCCATGTTACCCTTGTCACTCTGACCTCTGTGTATTTGCCTTCAAGATCTATGTCCACCTGAAGGAAGGGGGTGGCCCCGATGGTCTGGACGCTCTGAAGAACAAGCCACAGCTCCACGGCATGGTGGCCCGGAGCCTGTGCCGGACCGCGGCTGGGAAGAACTACATCATCTTCACGGGCCCCAGCATCACCAGCCTCACCCTGTTCGAAGAATTTGAGAAGCAAGGTTGGTCCTTCCCAGATGGCCAGCCGCTGGGGGAAGTGACGAGAGGGCGAGGCAGACAGGAGAGTGGCTAGCAGGGGTTGCCCAGGCATCTCAGGGCCCTGAGTGCTGGGATCTGGTACTCTCAAGCTGTGGGAGTCTGGGCCCGCCGTTTCGAGACAGCATTGGCACAGAGCTCTGCCAGTCTTCTGGGCACCCCCCGTGTGTACCCTAGGCACTCCTGTGTGTGTCCCGTGCTGTGTGGTTCTGTCCCTCAAAGGCCTGGAGGAAAAGCCCTGGGGACAGCTCAGAAAGTATCACTCGCAGACAGAAGCTACAGAATCGAGACAGTTAGCCACGGCACACAGCGGCCGTCAGGCCTTCAGACTGAACGCTCTCGAGCTGTGGAGGGACAGGCAGCTGGCGTCCTGAGCCCTGGGAGCCGTGTTGACGTGAGGAGGCAGCCAGCCGCTGTGGGTCACACTGCAGTCTAGGTAGGGGCGACCCCTGCACTGGCCAGTGCAGGCAGCCTCAGGGCTCACGGGTGGCAAGAGCCCAGCCAGAGATCAGACTGAGCAGGAGCCAGTCCTACAACACAGGACACAGCGGCTCCAGAGGAGCTCTGGCCCTCCGTGAAGCACGGTGGGGAGCGGCTGTTGTCTGAGCCACGTGTCTGTGGAGGCGTGTATAGAGAAGTGCGCCCCTTGATGCTTGTGCATGTGTGTGTGATGGTCCACGTCTTGACTGTTATCAGCGATGGAGTGTGTGTGGCCAGTGCCAGGTGTGCGGCGCCGCACGGGAGCTGGTATCGGCACGTGGCTGGACCACTGAGGTTCCTTCCCAGGAGGCAGGAGGGTTGCTCCTGAGATCCCGGGGAAAGCCATTCCCTAGCTCAGTAAGCAAGGAGATGGAGAGAGACCTCTCGCTGGAGACAGTCATTGGGTAGGAAGTTAAGGTTAGGTAATATAAAGATGGCGTCACCGTGGATTTTTTAGAGGCATCTAGAGGTACCGAGTTCCTGGCGATGGAGTGCCGTGCTCCTTGTCTACAGTGACAAGAGTCTCAGGAACTGACCGTGTGTCCATCCCAGGGACTCTGGCTGCATTGCCGGGCATGTCCTCACACCCCCTTTCCTGCTCAGCTGTGAGCTGGGCCCTTTCCCTCCAGATCTCCTTCTGTGATGCACACGTGATATACAGGTTTCCGGAAGCAGGTGGGATGATATCCCTCAGTGCCAAAACAAGGCCTGTTTGCAGGTGCCACACCGTTGCGTTGGTCCATTGTACCCGACATGGCCTAAGGGACCTTTGGGTGTGCTCCCATGGAGGGATGGGGAAGCCGAGCAGAGGCACCGTCTCTCCCTCCCGGGCTTCGGGTTGGGGTGCCCTGTCCGTGGCACACGTGAGATTTTGCGCCTTGCCTGCCAGGGATCTACTGCTGCGGCCTGCTCAGCTCCAGGAAGAGTGACTGCACTGGCCTCCCTCCATCCATGCTGACCAACCCTGCCACGCCGCTGGCCCGGGGCCAGCACCAGATCAGGACGAAGGGGAACATGTCTCTGATCTGCTGGTACAACAAGGGCCACTTCCGCTTCCTGACCAACGCCTACTCTCCCGTGCAGCAAGGTGAGCAGAGCGTGTGGGGGGGCACCCAGGGCACAAGCCTGGTGGACCCTCGAGCCATCTGTATCTCTAGTAATTGGTTCTGCTGTCCTGGGAAGGGGCAAGGAAGAGCATCTCGAATCTCTTAGCTTGCCTTGGCAACCTGGGAGGATTTGATTGGCACATGGCATTGGCCTCACCTGCTTGTTAAGGTGTGATGGTTCTGTGGTTTGGGGCATGGTGATGGGCTACATTCTGGGTGGAATTTGTGGATCATGTTATCATCACGGGCTCCTGGAAGCAAAGCATCTATGAGATGCTGACTGCCAGGCGGCCTGCTGTTTCCCTTGCTGATTCTCTGGGGACGTAAGATCAATTCAGAGCAGAGGGACTTAATAAGCCAGTGTCAGTACTTACAGAAACTGACAGTTAAGACCGCGTGGAACTGCCGAGAGAGAGGTTGAGGGGACTGCCAAGGAATCTGCGGAGAGGCCGCCAGTGCGGTGTGCGCACGAGGAGCTTGCATTCGAGTGTGCATGCCGGGCGTGTGACACCTTGTTTCAGGGGTGTGGCGTGTGGGATGTGTGCCATAGTCTGTGGCACACTGTGTGCCTCTGTGTGCCATAAAACTCGCCAGCACTATGGGAACCCTCACCATGCCCCGTAACAAGAAATCAATAAAGCAACAGTTTTCCTTAACCCTGCCAACTCTCAAAATAATGGACACGGAGAGACTATAATTTACTTTATAAGCGTAAAGCACTAGAGCTGGGCAGACATCAACCCTCTAAGCTGTTTTGCTCTCTCCCAGCTACACAACCTAAGTTAGTTGCCAATAAGCCGTCCTGTCTGGGCCGGATCTGCTCCCTTAGGCCATATCCACTGTCTCTGTCTTCTTCTCTCCTTCTGAGAAAGACACCTCCTTCTTTGTAGGGTAGGCTGACAGTTCACAGAGGACAGACACCATACAGCAGCTGTTGGTGCAATGACATGGCGAGATCTGGAGGGTTTGCAGGATTCTGGAGGCGCATCGGATGTGTTCCGTGTGTGTGTGTGTGTGTGTGTGTGTGTGTTGGACAAACAGTGTATGAGAACACCAGCTCTTGGCCAATCCAACCAGGATGAGGGCAGGGGGAGGAATCGGGAGGCCTGCTTCCCCTCAGTTCTGCTCAGGCCTGTCATGGTGGCATCCTGCGTGAGCCTCTTAGAGTTGCCTGTGGGTGTGCCATTGGCCCTGTGCCCACGAAGCTATGGAGCCTCGGTGGCAGATGACTGTGGTTGTCTGCCTTGAGTGCCTCCTCACTCCCATGGCTCTGCTGAAGCAGCTGATGGATGGTGCTGGCCCAGTTCCCCACCCCCACCCCCACCCCCGGGCCTGGGTGCCTGGATGGGGTCTGAGCTCCTGTCACACCCACAGGTGTCATCATCAAGCGAAGAAGCGGGGAAATCCCCTGCCCTCTGGCTGTGGAGGCCTTCGCTGCTCACCTCAGCTACATCTGTAGATACGACGACAAGTACAGCAGGTGGGTGTGTGGACAGCGGGGGGGGGGGGTTGACACACGAATCCGCCGCCACAGTGGCGTGTAGGGGCGGTAGTGCTGGCCCAGACAGGGTGAAGAACAAGTGTGCGGCGTGAGGACCTATGAGGTAGACCCTAGTCCCACCTCCCATCTGTCAGAAGTGCCAGGAGTCAGCCCAAGGCCTCGGCTCCTTTGCACGGGAATGCCCGGGGTCAGGTGTGGGCGTGTGCACGCATAGCACACAAAGCAGTGCACACGAGTGTACCACGGAGCCACCTCCCAAGGTGCCGGTAACCGAAGAGGAGGGGGCTGCAGACGTGCAGCTGCTTCCATCCAGTCTTCCCGCAGACAGGAAAGCTAATGCGGCTAGCCAGGTAGCCGGGCCCTGCTGGCCGCTGAGGGGACCGCCATTGGCCTCTGGCCGGGTGGGAGGGGAGAGCAAAGCCTGTTCTCCCTGGAACACCCAGTCTTCCTTGACAGTCTGCCTTGACCGGACACTTGCCACATTAATGTCATTGTGTTTCAAAGATGTTGCTGGCGGTTTAGTGGACACGAGGGATGCTGTCCTGTGCTGGGCGCTCTGCGGTCTTCAGGCATGACGTGGCCGAGAAGCAGAGACAGTAAACGTGACAATCCTAAAATAAGGTTCCGGGCATAAGAGTGCCCTCAGGTCCGACCCAGGGTCCTGTGCCTTCCCCGGAGAAGGACAAAGGGCAACAGGAACACGTGTGGGAATCACACCACAAGGCCTAGAGCTGAGGGACCAAGCACTGAGGTGTGGACGGGCCTGGAGAAGGGTTTTGAGAACCGAGTGCTGGGGTGGGAAAGGGCCTGTCACAGCCCTGCCTTCCCCCATCCCTCGGCAGCTCTGTTCTTCTTTATTGTTTTTCTTCACTGTGATGAAACCCTGCCCGCAGCAGGTTCCCAGCGCTCCCACCAGAGGGGAGTGAGCAGATGGGGCAGATGCTGAGCTTCCGGGCTCTTCTCCCGCAAGCCGTATCCAGCGCACCTGTTGTGTGACCTTTCTGATGAGATGTGGACAGAGGCCTGTTCACCCCAGATGGGTGCTAGTGACAGATGAAAGAAATATTCCCACCCAAGTCTAGCCTAGTGAGCCAGTGAGTGTGTCAGGGTCAGGATATGGATGGTGGCTCACAAAGCTGCTTTCCTGGAGCCCCTCAGCTGGAGGAGTCCCCTCTCCCCAGCGTTTGCCAGGGCTGATGTGGCCTCGGGTGGGGCCTTCTGACCGTCCCCTCTCCAGGGCTGGCTGAGTGTTAAGGAGCACCCCCACCCCTTGAGGGCGCGCTTAAGCCTCGGGTTTCAACGCTGTGCCTCCTTCCCTCTGCTCCCAGGTATTTCATCTCCCACAAGCCAAACAAGACGTGGCAGCAGGTGTTCTGGTTCGCCATCAGCATCGCCGTCAACAACGCCTACATCCTGTACAAAATGTCGGACGCCTACCACGTGAAGAGGTACAGCCGGGCCCAGTTTGGAGAGAGACTTGTCAGGGAGTTGCTGGGCCTGGAGGAGACGTCACCAACGCACTGAGACTGTGCCGGCCCAGGGGTGGCAGGGACAAGAAAGGCGCCCGTCACCTGCGTGTTCATTGGAGGGCCCGTGTGTGGTCAGGATCTGTTTTCCGCATCACCCCCCAAAGGGTGGCTCCCCAGAGCCTGGGCAGGTGACTGGCGGGGCCGTGACCTTGGAAGGTACCAGCAGAAGGACCAGTGGACCAAAGAGCTTGAAAGATGCTGATGGGCTCTAGTCGACCAGGCACGCTCCGAGATGGACCGCTCAGAGCCAGCGCTCAGCAATAGGGGGCGTGGGTTTCCAGCACTCTCCTGCGGGATCAGCCTCAGTGGCTTCATGGAAAGAAGGTGCCATTAAACCTCAGAGTCAGTGGGCAGGAATGGTTGCAGCGGACTGGAAACAGGGTGTCCCCGTTACGTCCTCCACAGGGCTGGTGACGGAGCAGGGCACAGAGGGAACCACGAGAGGGAAGAGCGATGCCGTTTTTTTAATTTTTCAATATATCTTCAGGTTATTTTCCTACTGTTGCTTAAGGTCTACTGTAAACGAGACGTGTCTCCTCCTCCCCCACATCACACACCCTCACAGTTCCCTGCATGATCGCAGTTCTGTGTCTGGCCTGTGGCAGGGCAGGAAGGGCCTCCGGCTTCCAGGACAGCCGTGGCTACGGCTACCAAGGCCCGGGGAACCCGCAGGCTGTGCACTTTGTCACCGTGTCCTTGCTGGCAGAGATACCTGTCTTGAGAACTATGTAGCATTTGTGAAAACAAAATCTCCCATCGCCCTTTCTCTGTGTGTGGTGGTTCCTGGGAAGGGACAGCAGATGAGGAGGCCTGGCTGGGAGCCACCTGGGGGGTTGACCTGGGGCTGGGGACTGCCCACCGCAGGGGCAGGAAGGCATGGGGGTCCTTCCCGAGACCCAGGCCCTTCCGGCCAGAGGTTGACACATCTCCACGGAGCCCCGCAGTGGGTCTGCCCTCCGCACAGATAGGAAACAAGTAACGTCTGCACCTTGCAGCCCCCACCTGACCTTGCAGCCACCTAAGGTCTACAGATGCAGAATGTTCTCAGCGGGGGGGCTTTGGGACACTTCCTCATTTGTCGGTGAGCTGAGCTGTGGCGGGCAGAATGCCTTCCATGCCTTGTCACTTCTGTGCCCTCACTCTCTGTGCACACCCTCGCCTGCGGCGGGCCCCGAGACACCACCGATCACAGGCCCAATTCCAGATTGTGTTTAAGGTAACCTTTGCTGTACCCTTAATTGGATTGAAAGCACTTTTACCACGTGGAGAAATATATTTTTAATTTGTGATGCTTTTCTACAAGGTCCACTCTTTCTGAGTTCAGGTGTTTCCAGCACTTAGGGAGACCAATGAAGGCCAATGACTTTTTCTTTTCTGTCCAATCAAGAAAAATAAAAATAAAAATCTATTTAGATGCTGGCTGTTAGTATGTGGCTTTGTTTCAAAGGTCCAAGTGAGAAAGCTACGCCTCTGCACTTGCTTTCCTGCTGTGTGGCCAGGTACGTGTGAGCTGACCTGTTCTTGGAGTCCTGAGCCACTGAACAGTTTATAAAGAAACCAGCTGGGATTTTCTGCGTGAACACGAACAGACGGCCGTGGTTCTGAGCGTAGCTGCACCCGTTATTTTTAGCCTTGGTTGCCTGAGGTCAACTGTGATCTCAAAGTAGCCCGTGGGAATAAATAACCGGCGCGTTGTAAACTTTATTAGAGCATGCGGCCACGGTTGTTGCGATGTGTCATGAGCCTCTCGCTGCGCCTAATTAAACTTTCTCACTAGGAAAGGCAGAGGCACCGTGTGTGATTCTGGTACCCACGGAGGGTCTTGGGTCTCAGAAATGCCGTCCCTGCTGGGGATGGAGGGGGACTGCGGAGTCTCCCAGACGGTGCTGTGCGCCTGTGGCCAGCAGGTGGCGACTACCGGCAGGGCGTTTGCTCCTGTCGCCTGCTGGTGCCGTCCCTGCTCCTGAGACGCAGTCTGTGGCTCTCTGGCCGCGGCTCTTTCTGTAACTAGTGGGAAGATGGCAGCCAGGCAGTAGGGGCGCCGCAGCCGGTAAGGCATGGCACTGGAAAGCCTTCAGGGCCCGGGCTTTGCCTCCACAGCCTTGGTGTGGCTCAGGCACTGCTGTTTGTAAACTCACAGCATCTCTTGGTCCTCAGGCGGACACTGGCTTTTCAGCAATCAGACATCCATGGTGACCAGGGCTAGTCCCCAGTGTCAGCTTCCTGTCACCCAGACAAAAGGCCAGTCTTAGATGACCAGGACAGTGTTTGTCTGGTTCTCACTGAGCAGTCTCAGCACGTGGGGCTCACTCTTGTGTTTCGGGTTAAGGCGGAAGTTCTTGACTAGAGGACATGGTAGGACTGTTGACATCCTGACAGCAGGAAGTGGAAAGTGAGAGGCAAGGGAACCAAGGTCCCAGGATCCTCTTCCAGGATACACCCGATAGCCTGAGCTCCCTCCACTAGGCCCCTCTCCTAATGGTTCTGCCACCTCTCGGTAGTGCCTTAGACGGGTGAGGATGTCTTCCGATCACAGCCTTCAGGAGGACACTGAAGATCCGTATCCCAGTGACCCAGGAAGTGATTCTCATGAGAGGTGTAACACAAACCCCAATTCATCCCTGCATATCCCACAAGCCACTGCTTCGCCAGGAACCGGCCTGGCAGAACACAGGGTGCTGGTGGCACCTCACAGCCATGGCCAGCGAGGCCTCTCTCCACTTAAACATGCCCTCCCCAGGGGGAAAGGAGAGAAGCACGAGCCCCAGACCCTCAAGCCTGCCCTGGCATTGCAACGGACTCCGGTGACCTCAGCTCAGATGGAAAACAACTAAGCGTTTGCTCCTTTCCTTTCCAGGTTCAGTCTTTTTGGTTGACAAGAGCTTCAGATCAGGACCTTCTTCTGTGGTTCCTGGGCCATCTTTGAAAACTTGGGTGGGACATCCTAGACTGAGACCCCCTGGTCCTCTGGCTGCAGACTAGTCAGGGAGGCTGGCCGCCAAGATGGAGTGATCTGTGTGCAGGACTTGAGGTGAATGCCACCCTGAGACAAGGCCCAGAGGTTCCAAATCCCTCATCTACACCATCCATGGCTGCCTCTTCCCCAAAGCCAGCTTCAGTGTGGGACAGTGTACGGACCAGCCACCACAAGGTGGCACCGTGGTGACTTCCTGTGAGGCAGGTGGGACACAGACAGGAAGTTGACCATGAACTTGGATAAGACCCTCTGTTCCTACCCAGTGTATACACAAAGGCCAAAAAGGCATTAAAAAGGCAGTGGAATTTTAGGGGTTTTCACTCTAAGTTTTGGTTTGTTTGTTTACAGATTTCACAGACCATGAGCTAAGTCTCGGGTCTTCTGTGTGACACACGATCCCATTATGATAATTCAGGCATCCAGTCACGGCTGTTTCTTCGACAGTTGCTTTACGGCCCCCGGCTCTGAGGCGCAGTCGTATACTTTGTGTTCTTCTTCACTCTTCCGGCTTCTCCTGGGGTGGGGGGTCGTGGGAAGTGTGCACACACAGAGCACCAACTTTGCTGGTGAGTACAGGATGGATGAAAACTCCCCAGAGCTGACGTGGTAAGGCTGGGTCTCCCGGAGGTCTGCTGTCGGGAGGTGACTGAACCATGAGGACACTAACCTGAGCAATGACTTTAGCTGTTGATGAGGTCACAGCTGAGTGAGCCAGCGGACAGTGGGCCTGGCGAGAGGCAGTGGTCACTGGGGACATGCCTTTAAAACCTTTACCCTGTTCCTGGCTGCTTTAGCCCTCTCCCTGTCTCCTGGCCATCACTGTGAGCATTGTCCTCACCTGGCTGCAGGAGATAAGGAGGGACAGGGCAGGGTCCCTTGCGGCCCCATTCTGCTGAGGCTCTCTGTGTCATCCTGGCTCCAGCCCCATCTCCCTCGGCTCAGACTGTTCAAGGCAGCTAGCAGCTGCCCGACCGCTGACTGGCTGGCCTTGCATCCTGGGCCAGTATGGAAGCTGGAAGCCAGAGTGAACACCACAATCAGAGTGCAGAGACCCAAAGTGGTGTGTAAACAAAGATGTGGGGAAAGCCCCGGTGTCTCCCTCCCCCCGGGGAGTGCCCCGTGTCGGGGCTCCTGAACCACTTGGCCAATCCTGTGACCCAGAGACCTGGGGAATTGCGCAAAACCTTTTCCGGGAGAGACCCTGCTTACTAAGTCTGCCCAGGGGTCTTCTTGACTGGCGTTCAAAGCTGTGGCCTTGCGGGGCATCTCATCGTGGGAACTGTTCATAATGGATAGAACATGCAGGGAAATACACATGCATGCAGGGTGCACATACATGCAGGGAAATACACATGCATGCAGGGTGCATATTCATATATGCAGGGTGCACATACATGCAGGGAAATAACCTGTGCCTCTTGCACATAAACCTAAAAAATGTTCATGTCTTCCAACATAAAACAGGACATTAAAACATTTAATGATAATTATATGTGTGTGCGCTTGTTTGTCCTTTGTGTGTCAGCACACACCGGGGCCAGAAGACACTGGATCCCGTGGTGATGGAATCACCAGCAGCTGTGAGCCAGTGTGGGCGCTACTGAACTCTGGTTCTCTGCAGGAGCAGCAGGCGCTCCTAACCACCGAGCCATCTCTCCACTTCCAGCATTAAAATATTTTTGCGGCACACTATAACAATGCCTGAGGTTTTTTGACTGGCCAAAGACAGTTTCTAAATACCGTTTTAAAATTTCAGTGAGCTCAAATCAATTTCCCAGTAAGTGCGGAATTCACCTCCACCTCCTCTGTATATCCTGATGTGATAACTTTCAGGTAAAATGGCAACTTTCTCCAGCTCCTGCTTTTGATCTCTTCCCTCTATAGCCCTGTTCACATCTCCACAGTTACCTTTTTGCTACCTCCACCTTTACTATCCTTCCCCAGAATCCCTCTGGTTGAAGGAGAGCCAGAAGGACATAGCAGAAAGGGAAGGGAAGTGGGGCCTTCTGAGATGGCAGCTTCTTGTTCCCAGAAGACACTGGGAGAAGGCGTGGGGCTGGCTTTCTAAACAGGACCAATAGGGGCAAGAGAAGACCCAGGGAGGCTATAAAATCCCCAGGTCGGCGTGGGCTCTCCCCTGGGGCTTCTCCAGGCCTGGAGGAGCCAAGCTGCTTCTCCTTTCTCCATGGTTTGGTCTGTAGCCTTTTCCAAAGTTCAGTTCTTCGTCCATCCCTGAGAATGAGTCCCGTGACTCCTTACAAGACCATCAGCATCTCCTGGCGTCTGCTCAGATTGGCGATGACTACTTAAGGGTGCCTGACTAAAAATCAAGACGGGCTTGGAAGTGGCCATGACAATCTGGTAAGGGCTCCTTCTGAGCAAGGGGACACCCCCACACTGGCACGGTCCAACCCGGTCAGCCCACCTCCATTGTGAGTAAGGAGAGCAAGGGAGCAGGCTTCAGCCGGGCAGTTTGAGATCTAACAGCTGGACGGAGGTGGCTGGCAAGGTATTTCTTCCAAGAGAACTAGGGCAGGGGCTCATACCAGGACTCCTGGCCTATGAGATACTGAAAACCAGACCTCAGAGAACTGATTGTCTTCCCAAGGAGGGGGGAGGAAGGCAGACCCCCCACACTTGATATACCTGGGAAAGGGCCATGGGAATGTCACTCCTTCGCTCAATTGCTTCCTCACCCCACCTGGGCTCCTGGGCCCTTGAGCTGTAAATGGCAGAGTGTCCGCACCTGGGGCGGGCAAGACACTCTTCTCAGTTTTCTCTTGAGGCACTCTAGCTCACAGGCAAAACTCAAAGCAGGGCTGAAATTTTCTGGTGTAGAGGAAGGAAAGGGACAGAAGGCAGCGGCCGTGGTTCAGAAGCAGGCCATCTGCATCTGAACCAGTGAGCAAGAGGCCCAGAGCTGCTGCTGTGTTGGAGAGCTTTGTTGTGGGCTGGTAGCACTGAGGGGTGTTAGCTGTTTTCCCAGGGCTGGTGTGGGGGGCAGGGCAGATGCCTTCTCTGCACACATGCCCTTCCTTAGCCTGGGCTCCCCTTGTCCCGTGTCCCTGTCTATATGCAGCACTCCCCAAGGGACTAGGCTTACCCCAGTATGAGGTAATGTTTACACAACTATTTCTCACTCATGATTTTTTCTTCTTGGTAAGGAAAATGCCCCCCAGGTATGGAGTACCATACCCGCGGCTGACTTCGGTGGCAGCATTGTGACTGTTATTTCCCTGTCATTTGGGCTCTGCTTCCCTGCCCTTCCCCCTTCCCGACTGGCCCATGACTGTGGCTGGCCTAGGACTGCTAGGAATGGTATGTCTTGAATCGCTCGTTTATTACACTGCCACTGTAAACCTGGAAACAGGAATCGGCGAGGGTTCTTCACCAGGTACCACCCCTACTTTTAGAAAAAGGAGCACCAGGGCACAAGTTCAAAGCCATCCAGCAGGCAGGCGTGT